TCAGCAGTGGTTTGTCTCTTATTACATTAGCACCTAGAGGCCCCAATTAATATCAAGGCTTATTAAGGCAGGGAATCTTTCTTCCTGTGTGTTTGTACCATGACCTTATCATAAAAGAAAAGAGGCACAGAGAAGTGAAATGACTACTCAAGGTCACCTGGCAAATCAGTGTCAGTGCTGAAAATAGAACTTAACTCCAATCTACTGACCCATGCTATAGGTCATTCTACCTTTACCTTCAATTTAATCAAATGTATTCATTTTCAAAAGCATCTAAATGAAAATCAATGGATGTGTGCCCCTATATACTTTAGCTGTTTTTGAAAATTCCAACTTTAATCCTTTCACCTAATCTGTCTTTATTCTCTAGCTTTTAATATTGAAGATAAGATTGTTTTCTTTCTTCCATTGCTCCTGCCCTTTTCTGTTTTGCCTACTTAGATTGCAGTCTCTTTGGGGACAAGTATTTGCTATGTGTTTGCACATATCTCTTGCACTGGAGTCCTGAGCTTGGCTAGTGTCTCTGCGCTACAAATAAATATAAGTAACAAAAATAATCGCTATCGGTTTCCAACACTCTACCCAACAAAAATCTGCTAGGAAAAAAAAGAAAAAGGTTAATGGAGCAAAGGACTTTCTAAAAGAACACCACAACCTTGATCACCTAGATATAAAAGCCGGCATTTTCTGAATATCTGTATGCATTATAGCACATGTGGGATTTCCTTGACTGTAGTCTCTGGGAATTTTAACACTGGCTTCATAGGGAGCAGCAATGGATTTGAGGAAGAAAGCCAGGTGAGTAGGTCTGCATAGGTGGTCGTGTCTACATGAGGCGTTACTGCACAGTAGTGTTGCCGGGCAGTAACCGGGATGTAACGCTACTGCACAGTAGTGTTGGAAAAAACTATGTGGTGATGGTACTGCACCGTAACGCCAGTTACTGCGCCGTCATTTAGTATTGCTTATTCAAGTGCTAAAAAACTGTGCAGTAACTACCGCACAGTCTGCCACTCACGTAGATGCAGCTGGTGCAAAATGCAGTTTTGGCAGCAAAAGGGTCTGTAGTCACACATTATTAAATTCCATTTATAACTAGTTCATGAATAAAATTCTTGCACTTCCTAATGAAATTGGCCATGTTCTAGTCTCCAATGGGCATTTATTTACTTCACAGTACTACAGAAGAATTATAAATAATTTGCCCTGAACAGCAGCAAGTCTTTGCTACAGAAGTTTTGAGCAATCAGGGACAATGCAGGTTGCTGAGTACCTAATTGGAATATTATTTGGTAGCTCTTTTTTATGGATAGGGACAGAAATTACACATTAACCAGTATAAGGGATTGGAAACCAGTTCAAATCTATAACACAACAGAAGTTCAGAGCACATAAACCGCTTTCAAAATGGCCAAAACAAGTTTAAGATAAATCTGGTTGGATGAGTATCAGACTTCATTGATTTAGGCTAAATCGGTTTATTGAAATTCTGTCCCAGATCCCTTCCAGATTCAAGTTAACTCACAGTCTTCCAGCATCCCAGGATGCTTTGTACCTTCCCCACAAACTCCTCCCCTCCACAGGGTGGGCAGGCCAGCCTTGGCCCAAGCTTTCTGCTCCAGCAAAGTAGGGCGGCATGCTCTAGCACCTCCAAGCTTCTGGCCTGGGCCACTGCAGGTTGCATTCTCAGAATCAAAAGTGAATGTTTGTTCACTTATTGGTTCAATCTACATAGCTTAGACTGACCTGTGAAGATTGGACTGATTTAGCCTTGGGCTTTTTGGCTGGCTGTACTTAGCCTATAAGTATACTTAGCTGCCATTGGCTCTGAGGAGGGTTAGGTATGCATACTGATAGGAGAAAAGAAATCTCTCTTGGGCTGTAATCAAGGTTGCTCTCTCCCCCACACTTGGAACACCAAACCACATTGTAAATAGTTATGGCTAAAAAATGAAATCAAGACAAACATCTTTAATAGTGCTGGAAAACTAGAACAAGTACTAACCAGAGCAGGATAGTTCAGGGTTCAAAGCTTCTTTCTCTTGAGTCTTGGAACTGCGAATACTGTTACCTACTGTGCTTTCTGCAGTAGAAACAGGATAACCCTAATCTTAGATGTCTGGTGCATGAGTAATAAAGCACAACAGCTGATTTCTTTTCTATACACTGTTTGCTGCTCACCTGAGATTAAAACACGACCCAGAACATCTGTAATTTCATACTTTTGTTGGTTGACAATCTGAATTTTATTGGAATCTTAGCATGTTAACTAATACTTGGCTCTCTATCTGTAACCTGAGTCTTGCTAAGCTTTAATTTTGTACTTGTGTGTACCAAGAAAATGATTCAGCAAAAACTGGCTGCTTAAGTGTCCCTGTTTAACCCTAATGGGGCAAATTCATCCCTGATGAATCAATAAAAATACATGGAGGGGAATTTGGCCTCTTCCACTTTTTATATATTTTTATGAAATTCTTTTGGATGACAAAGGAATTTGGGGAAGGGCATAAATATATATATGGCAATGTTGCAATATATTTAGAAGTATGGAAGCCCCTAGAATATTGCATAAAACCATGCCCATGGATCTGACCGAAGCACCTCGCCATACTTATTCTTGAGGCAGTTTCCTCCTCTGAAACAGTTCTCAGCAGAGTTATCAAATCTCTCCTCACTCATTTCTGCCAAGCACAAAAGCAATCAAATGTATTTATCACTAAATAAAATGTAAGTATTTCATGGTGATAATGAGTAGAATAAATCGTACTCCCAGAATCAAAATGTATGCCCTGACACCAATGGCCGCACACGGTTAGCTTTTATTTGAGCACTGAGTTTACTGAAGTCAACGAACTAATTGTGTGAGGAAGAACTGTTCCAGTAAGGAGATGTCTTGCAGGATAAAGTCTCAGACTGTTTCCCCTTCTTGGAGGCTCTGAACTGAGGTAAGTACTCATTTCTACTGTAGCTGCTGGTCTGGGGCAGGTGCATGCTTTTGCCTTCATGCAGTCCTGTTGAAGTTGGCAAGTCTCCTTGCAGTTGCAAGGTTTGCCTGTGGGACTCCAGTTGCAGGCTACAGGCCCCAGTCAGAGGTTAATGGAAAGCACAGAAATACTCGGAGGAGAAAAGGGGGAAATATATTCTCAGGCTGGGAAATTATTGAATAACTGGAGCCAGGAAACCAACAGTTTAGATGAGCAGAGGGAATTTCTTTGGCTTCACCCCAGCAAACAAATCAATGCGTTTCTAGAGAAGTAGGTATGTTAAGAATACAGTAAAACCACTGGGTGGCTTGGATTGCTTTGGGCACATCTACATGATACGCTTAGTGTGCTGTAGCCTAATTACACTGTGGTACGTGCAGTAGTGTGCTGGTCAGAAACCATGCTAATACTCTACTGTGCAGTGTTATTAGGCTACTGCGCAGTAAGCATCACTAAAAAAAAAAACACATGCAGGGGCTACTGCGAAGTAACTGTAGTTACCGCACATTTAGTTAGTACTTCATTAAGCAAGCACTAAACTAAGGGCATTTATACACATACATTTGTCTGCTCCAGTGCTCTGGAAATCAAGTGCGTCAGAGCAGACTCAGCAGCTGAGTCCAAGGAGCATGTGAGCTGCTGTGCTCGGCGCTGCATGGCATACGTTTGTATAAATGGTGAGATGTGTGTCAGTGCTAAGAACATGGCGGTGGTGTGCCTTGAAACTAAAACCCCTTCACTGTGTTTTAGTTCAAAAGTGTGCCACTGCCATTGTCTCTGTGCATTGTATATACAAGGGGATGCAACACAGCGCCAACAAGTGCCTGGCAGCTTTGTGTGTGTGCACCTTTAATGCCCAGTAACTACTGCGCATTAAGGAATGTGTAGACATGCCTTTTGTCTCCAGAAAGTGTTTGAAGACCATCTTGCTGGGGTCATCAGATCCCAGCAGTCTTTCCTGCCCAGGTGCAGGGGGGCTAGACCCGAGGATCTGTGAGGTACCATCCAGCCCCTGACAACTATGAAACACCTTGCTGGCCCCATGGAGCAAGACCGTGACAAACTTTCTGAGGCGCCCAATGCTTTAAAAGTTGGGAGCTGGGAAGCAGCTTGGGTGGTTTTGTTTTTTTCCTCTATTTTTTCTTGTTGGAGGAAGGAAGAAACTCCAAAGCAACCTGGCAGTTCTCCACAGCACAGGGGGCAGAAGGAGGGAGGGGAGCAGAGCCCCGCGGCCCTGTGCGCGCGCCTGTCTCAGGCAGGGGGAGGCAGGGAGTGGAGCAGGTGGCTCCGCCCCTTGTAGGTCCCCGTTGGTCATATGGCGATATGAACAAACTCTCTGCCAGCGCCGGCTCTTTATTGGAGGGAGGCTTTGTCAATCTGAGGCCGGGCGAGCCCGACTCCCCGGCAAGCCGCTTCCAAGATCTGATTCCCGAGCCGTGGCTGATGGCAATGGGCAGCGGCGGCGGAGAGAAGAAAGTTTGCGCGACTTGGGCGCCGGGTCCTTCATGCCTGGGGCAGCGGGCGGCTGCGGGAGCCGGCGGCCGGGCGGGCAACTGACTGGGCATTTGCTGCTGCAAAGTTTCCTGCAGCTCTTTTGACCCGCCAGGATCTTAAATACCCCCCTCCCCTCCCTCCCCTTCCCTTCTAGGTAGGCGAGAGATCTCCTTTTTGAACTCTGTGGACGAGGGACCTGCCCGCATGGGAGCGGACTGACTGGAGCGCTCCGTTTTGGGGAAGGTGGAGGGGGGTGGGGGGCAGGGTTTCTTTCTT